TAATTATTGTTTGGGTCAAAAGGTTTTTAAATTTACCCTTTAAAAAAGTTTAAAAAATTTTTTTTTTAAAAAAAAGAAAAAAGGGTACGTGAGTTGGAAAAGGGGTTATCAAAAGTTTCCCTTATGTTTGTAAAACTTTTCAAAAAGGGGTGTCGCAGAAAAAAAAAAATTTTTTATCATGAATTGGGGCAAACCCGTAAAAGAAAAAATCACCCAAAAAGTTAAGTTTTTACGGAATAAAAGTGAAAGGACTTTTTTGGGGGTTGATCTATGTTTACTGTGATTTGTACTGAAAAGGGCACCCTTTGCTTTGGGAAACAGTATTAGTAAATTTTTTTAAAAAAAAGTGATAAAACGTTTAGAATCTGTAATATGTGTAAAAAAGCTTTAAAAAGAGTATCCCCGAAAAACTTAAGGTTTTTAAATTAATTTTTTTTTAATAACCCCAAAAATAATTCATAGTCAAAATTTTATTAAAAACCCTAAAATATACATATACTTTCCCTTTTTTAACTTTACATTTCGTGATAAACGTATTTTTTTTTATTTAAATTTTAAAATTTTTCCCTAAAAAACAATTTTAATTAGTTTGACCCAAAATTTAATCAAAAAATTAACTAAAAAAGGGGAGAAAATGCAGCAGATTTTTCAAATTTGGGTACTATTATTTAAGGTTTTTCAATTAAAAAATCGCAAATTTGATTCGAATAGGGATTTTTTTCTTTCAGAAAAGCCAACTTTTTTAACGAAAAGTTTATAGTTACTATAATTTTTTAGGGTGTAAAATAAATTTTTGCAAAAAAATTTTATTTAATTTCCTTTTAAGCAATGCATAAGGGTAAAAAACTCAGGATAAATTTTTAAAAGGGGAATTTCCCCTTTTGAATTTTTTAAAGTGGGCCCAAATGGGTTTTGTGGAGATTATGGGTTTTTTTTGCAAAAAGTTTTCCGTATGATATTTTAAATTTTGAAACATAATTTTATTTTGGGCTCAAAGGTTTTTAAAAAACAGAGAAAGGGGGGGCCCTTAAATGCCCTCGGGAAAACAAAAATTAAATAGGGGTTTCAAATGATTTTGATAAAAAAGCTTTCAAAAAAAGCGTCTAAATTGAATAAATTATTAACCCGCCCAAAATTTTTTGCCAAAATTGGGTTTAAAGGAAATTTTTTGTAAAATTTTTGAAATTTGGGGTTTTTGTAACAAAAAATATTTAAACCCTTTTATGTCAAGCTTTTTGGAAAAAAAATTTGCATAATTTTAAAAAATGGAAGGTCCCTTCGGGTTTAAGAAGGGGAAAAACGAATGTTGAATTTTTGGGGGTAAATTTTTCACCATTTCCCAAAAAGCCCTTTTTGGGTTTTTTTTTCCCTTTGTTCCCCGGCGAAACCTTTTAAATCAGCATTATCAAAATCAAAACTTTAGCTTCAAATTCTTTGTTGGGCATAACGGCAATAACAATATACTTGCGATGTAATATTGTATCTATCAAAATAACATTTTAATTTATTTTTGACTTTAAAAACGATCTCGTTCTGTGAATTTTGCCATTGTTTGAGACTGAATGTATTACACTGACATAAATTTTTAAATTACCTTTGCTCGAGTCCGCCAGACGATTCATTAGATATGACTTTCCAGTTCTGTACAAACCCGCGACGGCTACAACAACCATTGGCCAATCTATCTTTGCTATTTGATCAAATACTTGTTCCTCGCTCTTTAAAAGTATTTTAGTTTCTTCTTCAATTTCGTTTTTTACATTTTCAGCACTGATCAAGCACATGGGATGTTGGAATATTTCCATTTCATTTGGAGACCACCTGCTGCAAATATTATCACAACTTGCTTTAAATATCTAAGCAAATCTATACAATCTTTTTGTTCTTGTATTATGGAATTTGACTTTGATTTGACGTTGTCTTTTCAATATATGCTCTAAAACATATAAGAGAAAGGGAACCAATGGATGTCAATTCTCAAACTAATCAGAATTAAACAAATCAGCAACAAAAGGAAAACATATATAACTTCTAAACGTCGCCTTGCACAAGTATGAGTCAATACATACAAAAAAGCAAAGTCAACGACATTGGTGGCGGGAATGACAAACATTAGAAAAATATTTTTGTTTAATTACATTGTCTTATATATATTGTCTTCAAATAATACATCTATATAAAGACTTACCGGCTTTGACTGGCAGACACGTCTACCATTTTCACACGTAATTCTTTGTCGAATTCATTGCCGGTTCTAAATATATATTAACATAGATTTGACACATTTGTTTTCAGTAAAAATACAAGCATCTTTAAAAAAGCGAGTAATTTATCAAGAAGCATAATTATGATGATGTTAATAATAATAATTCCCAAAAAGACAAATGATTTTGGTGTGATAGCCTCCTTTAAAAAATGAACCAGGTATATGTATCATTTCTTTTAGGCGTCTTTTCTAATGTCTAATATTGCCTTAAATACAATACTATACTTCTAAATCAAAGTTTCCGTTTGGTCGTTCCATTAAAATATATCATATCTAATGAAAAATATATCTGTTACGTTAAAGAGCGCAATACAATTTACAAGAAATTCATTAAACATGGCAAGGAAAGACCCAAACATCTACAAACCAAGTAGAATCTCTCTCTTGCATTTTTTGTGCATAGACATTTATACACTATCCACTTTTTATTACTTAAGTTTTTAAAAATACATTAACTTTTTTTTTCTCGCCCTATCACAGGAATGTAAAAATAAGACCAAAAAAAATTCACAAAATAATATCATTATATCACATGTACTTCTTATCAAACGCATCTGTCTCTTTTGGTGACTGACTTTGAGGGGACTCATCATCCGGCGTTGGAGCTAAAATAAGAAAATAATTATGTATCAAAAAGTGATTTTCTTGATTATTTTTGAAGAGGATTCAAGGAATGAATAAATTATTAGCCATGAGATAAAATATACCAAAATCAGAGTAAGTATTACATTACGTATTTTTTTAAAGTAATAGAATTAACAGTGCCATTTTACATGAAACAAACTTGTGAATTTCATTAAAAAGCATAACATCGTATAATTCAAGAATACGTTGATGTACCAAAAAGATGGCAAGGTCTATGTCTAAGAAACAAAGATAAAACCTGGTTGTGCTTGTTGGAATTTTTTTTCTTGGAACGTCTGGTTTTTTTTGTGGAGGCTATTTGAAATATACAGATTTAAAATCATACAGTTTATTTGTACAAAAATGTTTATAGTACTAAGCATAACGTTATATTATTTTTTATTTGTTAGTAACCACATTTTATCAAACACATTTATCATAAAAATTGGCATTTATCGTAAGATTATCTTTGTAAATGAAATAACTAAAACAAAAAAGATGAAACAAATGCGTAGTTTTATGTTCTATATTTTGACTGTAAAATTTATTTAAACTGCATGGAAGCATATGTTCCGTTTTGCAACTGGTGTCTTGCCGAACTACTTTCTTTAAAACAAACTCAGGTTATACACAAAATTGAGAGGGATTCTTTTTTTTTCAAATCACCAGGTTAAATAGAGACAAAGTATATAATAAACATAATTTCAAATTATTTTCTATCAAAATAGGATTTAGTTTCATATTGTTGTATGAAAATTATCAAAATTCCTATTGGCTATTGGAACTTGTAAAATATTCATTTTCATTCAATTTGATTACAATATTTATAGAAAAAAAAACTAGACTATCCTTTCTGTATTTCATAGAAAAGTGTGACGGAAATTAATATGACACTTTTAGACATAACATTAACTTTTAAGAATAAATAATATATAACATTTCAATACCTGTGTGGCTTTTCCTATACTTTGGAAAAGTGCAATCTTTTGCCTGTGGTCCATACTTGCCTGTTTATCTGTGAAATCGGCTGTTTCTCTGTCCATTTCCAACAGTCTAAACATGAATATATATTAAGCATGCATCCCTTATTGTATGTTAACCACGACAACCACTTACTCACCACGACAACCAACACTACCACTACTATTCGCACATTGCCACAACTACTATCATTATTTTATAGCACCACTACTGCTAATTCTACTGTTGCAGCTGCTACTGCTACAACCATCGCAAACATAGCCGCCGCCACCACCACCACTTTCATTCCTTCTAATACAACTGATACTAGAACTTTAAATCTGGAAGAAGGGTGATATATCGGAGGCATTAATCACAACAAAAAAACATGAAAATTGCACACTAGGTTTGATTAAGTCTGCACATGAGGGATGATAAAAAGTGAAACAACCCTTGCAGCCCCTAGCACCGTCTTGTCCTAAACTCAATTTTCAACACTTAAAAGTGCTGGAATCAATGATATCCCAGAAAGATAACAAAACGCTGTAATAGTTGTGAAATATGGTGCAACTTTATACAGCTGTCACATGACACTTGACACCAATGTTGTGGAGTATACAAATTTGGAATAATTTGCCTCACACTATTACTACCTTTACAAACAATGACAAAAGCAACAACTGACACTGCTGCAGCTGCTGGTGCTGCTTCTACTACCTTACTTTTATTGCTACACTTCTACCGCTACAGCTACCACCACCACTTTTATTATTTTAAGTATGGTCTTAATGATGATTTTCGTGGATTTATACAGGTTCTATACAAATGGATAAATTTGGGCTATTAACATTTTGTTTTGTGTAAATATATGACATTTTGTAATTTTAAATTAAAATTTGCTAAATAAAAGGTGATATTTATGATTAAATAGAATCCGTTAATGTAATCTCAATATACATTTTGTAATTCTGCCATGGCAAAATTAGCAATGGTCAAACTATGGAAAAGTTATGCCATGTCAGTGTTTTGAAACAAACATGTCGGTTTTAAAATTCATAATGTTGCAATGTTAGATTCCTCTAAAAGTTGACATTGCAGAGAGTAAGGGGCATACGGGGTTGTGTTTGCCTAAGATCGTTTAGATTGTTAACCATCGCTTGACACTTGGTTTTGGTGTTTATAGAGACTTACGGGGTATGTTCTGTTGCCTTGAAATCCCTTTTTTTCTTTGTACCTTACGTGAGACATAGACTTCACCCAACGAGTTCCCCCATCCATCAAATCAAAAGCTTATCAGGTGATGATACATTGCAAATATCTACGTTTTTCACATTAAAATTTATGTTCACCCACAAAAACATAACACTTGGTCATTTAACTTTTTGTGAGGGTCTTTATCAACTATAACGATGAAGTTTTGTGAAAATTTTCCAGTGTTTTAGAAGGAAATTCTGTTTAAAATTTGTATATGAACATACAACAAACGGAGGTCGTCGTGCTTTAACGATAGCTTGCTTATTCGTGAAACTTTTTATAGGAGAAATAGTTTTTTGCGCTATATCAAACGACATGATGACCTTTCTCATTACATTTTGCATATGAATTATAAACTCGGAACAGAGTTGGGGTCACATTGAATTATTCAACCATGACACGGTTCATTAGCTCATTACATAATGTTGCGCGATGTCAAGAACGGTGAGATTCCGAATGTGTAACTTAAAAAAAAACATGCAATCATTCCTGACTTGAATTCTGTGTGATTTAAAATTACAAATGTCTGTATTTACTTGAAATATTTATAAAGGTGATTGAAATCCCACGGTAGATATATCTCGTAATATGCACTTTTTATCTGATATCGATAAACATTATTGTACTTGGTACACATTTTCAGCAAATCTATAATTAGTACAATGCCTATCCACCAGGTAAGTCACCATATGAATTTAACAGTGTAAGTGCGACAAACATTAAACCTACCGTCTTATTTGATAATAGTTAAAAGGTTTCTCGTTGAAAGTACAAAAACTGATCATGCATACAATATTGTGCATTCTGCCTTGCTTCCTAGTCATTCAAAAAATTTATTATTAGTTTCAAAATTAGACATAAGATAAAAATTCTCCTAAAATTCTGGAAAATCTTTACAATGTCAACGCAAAACAAATGGACGTAATAACCGATTTTGCCAAATGACTGACACCTTGTCAAACATAATTTCTAAACTGGCAACGAAAGAAAACTGACAAATTAACACAATGTCCGAAATTAATTGTCATTGAGAAATAACGCATCGCTGAGGATCAAATCAGCGACGCCTTGATAACAATTCGATACTTACTAAGTACAGTGTTAATAATATTAACGAACACTTTTTTTAGAACAATATGACATATTTTGAACTATATAAATTACCTTTATGTTTTTGTTATCCCAATTAATAGAATTGATTTAATTTTAAAACTAAACCCGAACAAAGCAGGACTATCTATTCAAATGGAGCAACGTCAAAGTGTGGCAGTGAATAACTCTATGCACAACTAAAATTTTTTGTTCATATTGCCGTTGTCAAGTGTCTACACTTAGTGACACAAATAACGCATTCCTAAAATAGAGTTTGATTCTAAACAAAGCGATCACAATAAACTAGATTATTCTAGACACTAAATGTGATATAAATATCAAACTTGAACAGCTGGGAACATATCTAAGATATTAAACATATCCAAGTATTTATGTTTACTAAACAAATCCCCTCTTTAAAATATTAATCTTATTCATGAAAATCATTTAAAGCAGCATATGACAAAAAATAAGCATGTTGACTGTTTTGCGGACTTTCTACAAACATGTACCTTGCATACTAAGAACCTAGAGATGGATCGCAATGTCGTTTTTCAGAATCTTAGAAGATTTTTGTCTTTCATAAAGACCCCATGTGACATAAACGAAAAAAGCTCCTTCTTGGAAAGGATAGCTATAAAGACACGTAGGTTATATCAAGACATATTTTTAACAAGATTAAGGAATCGCCCCATCGACAATTATGTACAAAGATGCCCCATTGAGTCCCCTCAAACATTAACATGATTGATTCCGAAGTTAAAACAATATTACAAAATATTGCATATGAATAATCATGGGATGAGTTACATGCTGGTTGAATTACAAAATTGTTAAAAAAACACCAATTCGGAAGATGTTTAAGACGATATTGTCGTACATGTCCGTTTCACTATTTCAATATCAACTGCGTTTGTAAAGTGCTTCAGTCTTAAATTCAGACGATAAACTTAATGGAATCAGAAACAAAACTTAATAAAATCGGTAAGCGGAAATTAAGTCTTGAGATAACCTAGTTTTACCTCATAATCAATCACATTTATGAATACATTTTATATAAGGTGTCCTATGTTAACAGATCAACATGATTTCATGTTTGACAACAAAGGCATTTGATTTTAAATTGAATGAGACCAGATAAAGGACTTATATTTTAAACTATTAGGCAACACAAGTGTGCGACAAACACTACAAAATGTGACGAACAAACTCTATGGAATTTACATTCAAAACTCTCACATCAATGCATTATAACAATTCTCACACATTACATTACTGAAGATTAGATGTAGACATAACTTAATCAAAACTGCATTATCATCTTTTTTCGAATTGGTGGAAGTAAAACATAATTGGAAGGGTTTTTTTATAACATTTTCATTTTTACATGATAATAATATACTCAATTTGTGGACTGTTGCACAAGTATATTACTTCTGAGCAATATATTTTCATCTTCAATCTGCATATACCGAACAGACTAGCAGAAAATGAAAATCATTTTCAAATACTCCTAAACATACTTTGCAATTTCAATAATTGGAGTTCGTCTTGTATATATGACTTTTTAGTCACTTCTAAATATGATAGACCTGCACATAACTTAGCGTAGCAATGTCTGAGTTTCCCTAATATTTAAAGTAGATATATAAGTTTTTTGATGATAATTGTTTTCAAAACGATCATACAAAGAGAGACATTCACTAGAATCTAACTTGCTATACCATCCTTGCAAATAGTTACCTTCAAGACTTTGACAAAAATGTAGAAACAACCTTTCATTTTGTACACACTGGTTCAACCAAACTTGCTCAACCCCATTAATACATATTAATATTGAAAAATTGGTTTCATCTGGCTAGTATTAGTCTTTAAATATGATAAAATATGAATTTTTATTTTTTACATATTAAATGGGAAACAATATGCTTTGTATTTGCATTATAAAATAGTTTTCAAAACTATGCCCCTTTTCTTACAAATGTACCTTGTCCTGATAAATAAGTTTTTCAATTTCTAGAATAACACGGTGATAGGGCGTTTACCACAACTTTTCCGCGCAACGTCCAAATATCATGTTTCTGACCAAGACACCGTCTTTTTCTGGACAAAGTAGTAATGGCGGGTGTATTTGTGGCGCCGTTATATGTCGCAACTCCGTTAAATGTCGCACTTACCGCTAAATGTCTCACCATTGCCGCTAAATGTCGCAACCGCCGGTATATGTCGCATAATCGTCTGCCGTTAAATTTCGCAATGGTAACATTAAATGTCGCACGATTTTCACTTCCCGTCAAATGTCGCAACGCTTCCGTTAAATGTCGCAATATGTAAATTCATGTTAAACTAGTAGCTAATGGTGTTGCATTAAATGTGTTGTTATGTTACTGTTACTTATCACTAGTAAAGTAAAAATGAATGAGTTCATCTTTAAAAATATGGGGAGACTCCTATCTATCTGCTAGGATAGGCTTTGTTGTAACTTTAAAATGATTGGTTGAAATAGGAGTTTTCTTTTTCGGTTTTAAAATATATAATCATCATTCATGCCTCCTTGGCTTTTTTTACACATGCCGAGGTTTTGAGCTGAGCTACGATATAACCTTAAGATAAATATAGCATACTAGGAAGCATATTCTAGAAAGATTGGATTGAGATTTTATATTGTGTGTCCGCAATTTCCCTATATTTTCACTTAATTTTAAAAGTTTTATGATATTGTCACTATCAAATTACGAATTATGGTCTTAAAAAATTTATTGCTGCAAAAACCTGTTTAGTTTTTTGTTGTTGTTGTTGTTGTTTTTTATTTTTTTTTATTTTTTTTTTTTTTTTCCCTTTTTTTTTATTACAATTAGTGTTTCAGTCATCACGTACGATATGTTATAGATACTTAAAAATAAATATGAAAGTGGGCGGAGTCAAAATATATATTCATATTTAGTGACTATTTCAGATGGTTTTTCTTTGACAGCCAATAGCTTCAGTTATTCATTTCATTATAAGAAATTAAAAGTGATAATTATGTTATATTTTCTCAACACAGTGTAAGGTGACGACATCAAATTGAATCTCATCGATGAAGAATCAAAATAAAATTGCATACAATTAGAATCTAGCGAGGGTTTTATTTTTCGATAGTTCCGGCTCGTGAAAATATATGGAATTTTATCTTATTTCGTGAAAATAAATTCCGTATATCACCCAAACGGAAAAATATCCTCTTGATAGTATTTACCAACAAGGCATATTAATGTCCGTCTCATTGACACGTAAGAGATTGTTCAATTCTAAATGTCTGTAATGATTCTTATCAAGACGTTTTGGTCTAGGTGTTAATCGTTTAAAATACTTTGTAGCATACAGCAATTGATTATATACGGAAATTATGTAATATACACGAAGGAAATGTTTTATACATTTCCAATCGTATTATTTTCGTCAAGATAAATAATTAATTGATATAGTTTTTGTGTAAATTTATTCTATTCTTTATTAATAATGAAATGTACAATCAAAAATGTAACTGTTAACATAGCAAAATTTGTAAATTCAGCGATGCAACTGATAATTGAATCTACATCATACATTCGTTTGAACACTTAAACGTTATATATATTTTTATAGTTTATAACGCTTAATATTTTTCTGCATTTTTACTTGGCGACGAACATGCGTTTTGCCAATAAAATATTTGATTTGACTATATTCATTTGTTGATGTTTACTATTTTCAATGGTTTATCGATAAATGGCTTGAAAATACTATATATAATTTATACAATAATAAGGTAAAATATAGAAATGAGTTTATTAGATACATGCAGAACTGTGTTGAAAGCAATCTTTTGATTCTGATATACTTTATAAAAGGAACTTTGAAAAAAAATGTTTTGATATTAATCATTGACATCACTTAGCGTAAGTGTAATAAGTGGAGAAGTTATGACGTTCAGGGCATCCTCCCCTGGCATCACATCCATTGCATTTTATGATACAATTTTACTTTTTCATCATTTTTTTTAAAGAAAATATGTTAGAATCGAACACGTAAAGTCTGAACGTTAAAAAACTGTTGCCCTTTTCTCACCAAAAGTACTATGTGACTTAGTCAATATACACTTTGATTTGCAGATACGATTGCGTCTAGTTATGCAATCAATATGTCTGCGACGAGTTCACTCTTGAGCAAAGAGTGATCATAACCATTTTGCATATATTTGAGTTAAACAAACGCTAAAAGTTATGACATGTAAAATGAATTCAGTCATATTTCCCCGTCCGCGAAACCCTCAATTATAGTGATTGCAATTAAAAGGCGGTGAAAATTTCAAAATGTGACAGCTTCATAGACTGACGGGACAATAACAGCCGCATGTTCTTAATGTATAATTAACCACCAGTCAATTTTAGTAAATAAAAAATGTATGTGACAAATGTAAGACACGTTTGTTGCAATTAAATATAAGAAAATAGTTTTAAATGTAATAATGATTAGAAAAATAAACTTTCCATTTCAGTGTATCGAAATAACAAAACTATGATGGTGAAAAGATGTCGAAAGTACGATGTTGCAAACACGAACTCATTTCGAGGTTTCATTATCGTGACTTCGTTATTTCGACTTTTCGCTATAATTTTACTTTCGACTTTCCATCAACCTACCGTCGACTTTGTACCATCGTAATTTTGTTATTCATCTTTATTGTTTAGCGATAACCCTAACGGGACACCGTACTTTTTCTTTGAATTATTATGTAATAAAACTGACGAAATGCTATTGAGTTTGGCCGCGTGACACAGGGTTGGTTTCTAAACGCTCAAAATATTTCTATTACATTGCTTGTTGCCAGTTGAAAAACAATCGTAAATAAGAGTAGCTAGAATCAAATGGTATTATTTTTGGCACTTAAGTATTATCTAATATAACCATCAGCAAGCAAGGAAGAGCCAATAAGGAAGATATCTCCCATTTATCCGCCCTTGCATATCTTGATGATTTATGTAGGTTTACGTTCAAAATCATAAACTTGTCATGAACATATTTTTACTGCAATGAAGGAAGAAAAAAAGAGATTTTTGCATTAATCGAATTTATAAAAATGCAATCTGATTGTAACAATATGACAAAACCTATAGTAAAATACATATAATTCCAAGACACTGTAACAGTTACCAGCGTGCCCTGCCCAAAGGAAGTTTTACATGAAGAACACACTTGTATTATTTTGACAGCTTGAGTTTCAGTGCCAACTTTTGATAAATGCACAGGCAACAATGAATTTAAAATAGAAATATAATAAAATAACTCTAGTGTATGTGTCAAAAGAAATAGTACGAGGAGTTTGTTTTACTGAAAATAAGCACATACAGGAAACTATTAAAACAATATTCAATATGGAGTTACAGTGCGTTATATTTTAAGTTACAATGGAATCTCTTTCGGAGATTTTCTCTGGACAAAATAGATACAGATCATGTTTAGCTTTGACCTCTAAGTGTGACCTTGACCTTGGTAGAGTCGCGCATGACTCATTGTCTTATCTCATAGGGTGAATATATGTGTGCAATTCTTTTTTCAAAATACTTTAATACGTAGAAAAGTTGTGGATCTGACACAAAAGGCATTATAACAGACTACTTTAAGCTTTGACCTATGTGTGACCTTGACCTTGACGGTATGATTCTGGGTGTTGTGTATGACATGTGGTCCTATTATGATGATTACATGTATGTGTGTCATAATATTTTAAAATCCCTTGATGGATGTTAACGTTATGGATTGGATAAGAAATATTCTCCCCATCAAACAATGTTGACTGCAAGCAAGTTGTCATACAGAGTGAGCATTTGTGCCAAGTTATTTCAAATACCTTGATGGACAAAAGAGTTATAAACCGGACATGAATTGTAACCTCCATCAGACAATGTTGATCTTTGATCTCCAAATGGGACCACCGTGGAGGTCTGGTTCTTTCGCATGCCAGATCTTCTTAATTTGATGAACATCTGTTATTTATGAATGGCTGAAAAACGGACCGGACAGACGGACGGAGCGAGAGTTTTCCTATATCCTTCTTTTTCTCGAAAAGGCGAGAGACAAAAAGGTATACAAATGTGATTTGTATTGTATTTAATGTATTTCTAGCTCGCTAGAAGAACAAAATGGTGACCAATAATTTATTACAATAAAAGAGGGCCATTAGCGCTAAAGGCACACGTAAAAAATCATTTATATCCCATACTTACGCATGTAAAGTGTTCTAATGCAACGAGTTCTTGGGCTTGCGGTGAGTCTTGTTGCGCCTACAACCTGTTTAAACTCCCCCAGTAGTCTATAGTCATGTCTAGGGTATTGTTATATGTTATTTATGTTGTTTGTATGTCCTATCTTATAACACGTTGTCAGCTGTAAATGTGTCCCTCCTCAGTTTCAATTTTGCGTCAAACCTGGGGGGAAATGTCACCCAAAGGAGCTACCGAGCATGACTTTTATAGACAAATGGTCTTTATTTGGAAGGACAGTTAATTTTATTTAATCAATGAAGAAAGATCTTCATTTATGTATATAGAATGCTTAATTCCCTACATGACAATATTTTTTCTAATTCGCTATTTCAGTTTAGTAGTGCACAATATGAATTCCTCCACAAAGTTTATGTTGACAAACGAACATACGCCAGTGTCTGTGGTGGTGGCGATATCAGGTGATGGTTCTTGGCAATTACCGTAGCGCCAGACATTACAATTTATAATGACATTCTTATAATACAAAAAGGAACATTTTATTTTACCATTTTGATAGAGGATTCCTTGCTTATTATGCCTGTAAATATTTCGTCAAAATTGGGTTATGACGAGATGTTTTTACTTTATAAAGCACATTCTTTTTATTTTCTGATTTAAATTGTGCAGTTTAACATTACAGATATCCCTGCCTTTTTATTTATTGAAACAGTTATTGATCTGGTAAAATGCAGTATAATCCGCCATCGAAAAACATTATGAAACTTGTTGTATAAATTCCTGCGTTCCTCCCTACTAGTTAAGCTTTTAAAGTTTAGTAGCGACAAAAACCCAGCCGTCTTATCGATATTATGGGTTTGCTATGAATGTAAAGAAACGATTAATAAGAAAATTCAAGTGCAGTTTTATCACTTGAATAGTTTCATTGCAATAGTATATCTATTTGACATAATACTTCCTGTGGTTACCAAAATATACCGAGGACGTTATCTGGTCAAACATTGTTATATCTACAACACTTAGCAGGCGTTCATAATGTTTTTTTGTTAGTAATTAATTTGACATAATGTAAAAATTCTCTTCCAGTAAACATTCCGTTGCAAAATATAGCTTTTAGACGATTAAACAATAATGTTCAATGATCCTTTATTATTGAAATAAAGGAATGTAGTTGCCGGTTTCCTTGCAAATAACCGACTACTAATCCAACATAACTTCTGGAAAAAAAATGGGAGACAAATGACTATCAATCCAAATGTATGAGATGTATTGCAACGAGGAAATATTGCCTCGTCTGAGGATTGAACGAGGACGCCTTGATAACCGTTTCGAAACTCTCTTCTCCAAATAGTCAATGTTTCTATTCATTAAGTATAGCATTAGCTTCTGGGTCTCCTGTGTGTTTTTTAATTACAGAAAATTAAAAATAAATTTTGAAATTTAAAACTATTAAAGTAAACATTTTTAATAATAGAAATTACCTTCAAGTATTTGTTATCCAAAGTACAAAACTTTACTTGATAATACACGTTTTCCCGGACAAAACACTCAATAAGGAAATCTAAAGTATGACAGAGAATAACATGTTGTACACAACTTAAAAGATAAACCTTTTTGATAGACGGATTCCGGTTTATGTCTTTTTTGTATTGACAGTGTTACGTACATACACTGAGTAACTTTAAAAACGCATATAAAAATACAAAAAGAAACAACTAAAAAGTAAACGAAAACAGCAAAGTTTACTAGATGTTTCATGACACTAAAATGGGTACAGTTATCAATCACACTAACGGCTGCTTGAACTTGTCACGTTAAAGTAGTTTACATCACATTAAACACAAACAAATCTGCTTCATGCAATATAAATGTGATTCAGGGATATCATTTCCATCAGCATATTAGAAAAACGCAATGAAGCTCATAAACATTTAAACCTGTCTGTCGAATGTTTACGACCATGAACTCTCGGAGGATTCTTGCAAACTTAGAACCCTATGATAGATCGCAACGTCGGATGTCAGTACTTTTGCTTTAAACAAACTATTGCTTTTCTTTGATGAACGAGAATACGTGACAAATAATGTTTTTCCTTCAAAAAAGATGTCATACAATACTGTCACAGTAGTTAAATTCAAAAATATCTTCTATTAGGTTGTCTGGTTTACGTTACATTGACGTTTGAAGGCTCATCGCCTCTTTTGTCCCAAAACAAAGTACAATAAGTTTTCAAAAACCTTTATTCAGACGTGGAACACACATTTCTGAAATATTGCATATGAATTATATGTGTTGGGATACAAATATTGCTAAATGATGTGGAATCATATAATGCTTGATTTGATTTGTTTAATTTGAATTTGATGCACTTTCGTTGTTAATAATTTGTTGGCAATAATACTGAAACTGTTTAAAAAGATAAGAAAAGATAACATAACAATTGTTTTCTAGATTTATATTTATCACGTTCGTTAAATCATTTAAATATCGATGCGTTTTTAAAGTGCTTCAGTGTACAATTCTGACGATCAAATTATTGGACTTGAAAATGAAACTACTACTTTGAAATCTGTTTAAATATTTACGCAGAACTTTAGTCTCCATTTATATGTCTGGAATAAGAATTCATAATTTAAGTAGTATTGCATTTCTGCATCGAAGCACTATTTAGATTGTATGCCATAATTATCACAATGTAAAATATTGTTATTTTAACAAAAGGCCAATCATGCACAAAAGAAATGATTTTAATTTTACACAAAAGGTTTTATCGTTGATGCACTGTTCACAAAAATAAACCAAATTAGCTAATACCTGAGCCATCACTTTGTTCTGTTGCCTTTTTACAATCTGTACAGTTACTTAGTATTTTATATGGAAGTCAGTGTACATTTTGCCTTTTTTATTTATGACAAATAATTTCAGATTTACGGTAAATTTATGACAAATAATATCAGATTTACGGTAAATTCGTGAGATGACAAGCATCTAACATGCTCTTAAATCATTATGACCAAGTTTGCCATTATTTCAAAATTATAAAAAAATGTTTCTCATGAAAAATGTTAATATACATGTAATATATTTATTTTTCTATTTTTTATTGATTTATTGATTTATTGCTTTATTTATTTATTTATTTATTTATCTATTTATTTATTGTTATTGTTTATTTATATTTTCACAAGTACAACACAAGGTCAAGTTTCAAGATTTTATTGGCTACTAGTTTCGAGTTATATAATACTCTTCATCAGGCATAAATATATATGAAATTGTAACTACTTTATTTTTTTAATTGTTTATTTCACAATTTCTGTTCGTGTTTCGATTTACTTCTTTGTCATATGAACTGGGGGGGGGGGGGGAATTCATTTCTCCGAGTTTAAATATACGCTATATAACTTATCGGTCCTTATCGTTATGTGAATAATACATTAAAGTGCGAATACATATCATCTAGCGTGAACTTTAATGGCAAGTGATAATGTTTTGATGTTTATCTTCAATGGCATTGAATTTTAAATTTATGACATCATCATCTGTATAACCAATAATGTATCACGATAAAATATTCAGATAAACAACTTGAAGTCAAACCCGTGGTGAAATTAGAGTCTATAGTTTTTGTTATTCAAATAAAAGGTGTTTTCAAAGGCCTTGAAAAGATGCAAATGAAAGGATATTGATTTTGAACTTGGCTTTTCATAGAAAAGATGTTTTATATATTGGAATACAAACTGAAAGTATAGACCGACTATTATAGATTTCACCTTGAATATCTCGTTACAATGGAGTTTGAAAAGTCAGAAAATTTAATTTAAAATTTAAAAAATGAAGCGCAATATACGCTTAGATGTCAGGTACACAAATTAAAACGATCATATATTTTACTCTTATTGACATCAATGGATTAAATTTGTGTTTGGTTGGCCTAAATATTTTGATCTTATACAACTGTAACGTGTGCAACACAAACCAAGATGATATTCTGACTCTACATATGGTTACATAATTTGCATAGTCTAATTTTCCTTTCAATGTTATAATATCTTTCTATTTCTAAAACCCCTTTCATTTTAGACCGGATTCAAGTTGTCACCCTTTGATGACGCCATTTGGACACTAAGTACATTATTAAAGAGATATGAAAATCTAAATCCTTCCTCTTATAGGATGGGCGGATTGAAATTACCGAACTTTTGTATTATTTAATAAGATATTACATAAAAGGATGTAGGGGGCGTCTGTGGCTGAGTTGTAAAGGTCGTTGACTTCAAACCACTTGTCCCTCACCGCTGTGGGTTCGATTCCCGACAGGGACTAAGGATTCTTTCATGTGAGGAAGCTATCTTGCCGTGGCTGAGTTGTTAATGTCGTTGACTTCAACCACTTGTCCCTCACCGCTGTGGGTTCGATTCCCGACAGGGACTAAGGATTCTTTCATGTGAGGAAGCTATCTTGCCGTGGCTGAGTTGTTAATGTCGTTGACTTCAACCACTTGTCCCTCACCGCTGTGGGTTCGATTCCCGACAGGGACTAAGGATTCTTTCATGTGAGGAAGCTATCTTGCTACCTTATGGAACGTCGGTGGTTCTACTCTGGTGCTTGAAATAATGCACGGAAGGGCACCTGAGGTCTTCCTCCACCAGTAAAGCTGGAACGTCGTCATATGACCTATACTGTGTCGGTGTGACGTAAAACCAAATACAAACAAAAAGTAACATAAAAGGATGTTCCAATTAATAAAAGAGTCTACCACAATAAGTTTATAATGATATTTTCAATACTTAAACATATATGGGTAACTGTTCGTGGTTACCATTTACGTTCAAATCTAACCTTGGACCAAAACAAATGTCAATGATCTAAATAATGGAAAATATCACACTGTTAACCACACAGTTTAGTCGTATTTACTTTCAAATTTGCACGTTACGGAATTCCATAAACGACAGCCTACTGCTCACTGCCTACTGCTAACTGGACAGCCTGCTGTCTCACTGCCTACTGCTAACTGCTTATTGACGGTCTAAGTCTATGTATGGATCAAATAGAAGTATTCCGAATGTACACACATGTGCACCCGCCATTTTGTTGGAAAAAATGCTGGGAAAACAATGGTAAGTAAATTAAAAAGGATTATTTTATAATCAAGCCTAATAATTTGTAATTTCGAATTCATTGCAATGACTTGTGTATGTCCCGACATTGTACACTGCATTGATTATGTTATGAAATGGTTCCAAGTGCCTCTCGCACAGGTGATTGATAAATTGTTTAATATAGGACTCATTTTAGGGTAAATCAACTTAATAATAACTTATTTACAAAGAATCTGTGTTCAACAATCAACATGGATGGGCTTGAGCCCACCACTATTCCTCGGTTGAGAGGCAGAGATCTGGACCATTATGTCAACACTCCCTATTATTTTATTTACAATTTCATAGTTTATTAAACTTTCATTTGACAATGTAATACATTTCTAGAAGAATATATGTAATCACTGGTGAAATTTAGGCTAAACATTCTCTCATAATCAAAAATGTGTGAGTTTATTTACGAGATCATTTAGGTTCAGTTTTCATTGGCTGTTATAGCTTATAATTGTGTAATTCCTATTAGATGTTATGTAATGCATTTTTGTTAAGTTGATTGCACTTTTGATAGTTTATGTTGCAAAGATATGTGCTTTGAAGGTTAATAATACAATTGTAGAATCAATTTTATTTAGAACAGAGGATGATAAATCTGACAGAAACATTTCAATGGAGGAACAGCCTATACTGTCATTGACTTCACAGACAAGTAACAGAACCAATACACCTGTATGAAAATATTGAAATTACAGTGGAAGAGGAAAAGGACAACATCAATGTATTCGATCTTGAAGGCGAGTTTAACTCGGCTTCCTTCTGAAAGCATAAACAAAGACAAACTTGGCTGTATTCAAATTGTTTCAAAAACGTTCAATATTTCAATGACATAAACAGTGCAAACATGAAGTTACAGTTTGGACCAGCTTATTTTACTTTTATGAACAGCCATCGTTATTCCCTTGTTTAATTTCAATCGTGCTATTGAAAAACTATGAGAAATAATAGATTCTTAACTATTTAAATTTACTTAAAGATTTCTGATAGACAAAATGATCATGTTAATGTTACAATATATTTTTGACGTGTTTGTTTAAAATCCATCTTTTATATAATTTTTATAATTATCTTGTTAACAAACACACTTAAAAGTGAACTTTTAGGTTGGTTACTTTTCTATTTCTTTTTGCAAATACCGCAAGTAAAACCAAAAAGCAAATCTGCCTTCGTATTTGCCAGAATCATCCGATGAAAGTCATTTCTATTTCTATCAGGGTTCTAGAGGTTTGACAAGTTCAATTGACAAGACAATTCTAAACAGTTCTAAGACATCGTGATAGTGTAGAGCTATGAAGCATTTTAAGTTACCTTTCTTACAACGTGTATATCACTTTACATTGCAGAGTACATTAATATAATTTCATAATAACTACATGTATATACACTTAACGAAACTTATAAGTACTCCGACCATTTTTTTTATTATATTGTGTTAGAATTACTATCACTAGTCTAAGTCGATACTGTATAAACTGTAATCATAGTACCATCATTTTGCGTTACGGATGATTGAT